ATATGTATTATAAAACTCCACTGTAATCAATACATTATATATATATATAATATATATATAATATATATATATTATATATATACTCTAAGTTTATATATATATATAAACTTAGAGTCATAAGTATTAGATATGTATAATCCTTAGAGTCATAAGGATTAACCACCCATAAACTGTGCAGTACATAGCATATGCCTAGCACATGAAAGTCTTTCATAAATATCAGCTCATGTCTTGCTTTCCTGCCTCTGTGGTTCACTACATTCCACACTGCAGTGTCTTCACCTCTTCGAGGGAGCTCTATGCCTTCTACAAAGAGATTCTCCACACCTGGGCTTCTTTATAGCAGAAATTCTCCTTCATTGCAACAAAACATCCACTCACATCAGATGAAAAAAGCCATTTACTTTCTCAGCTGAATCTTCACACATTACATAAAGCTGAGATGACCACATGAAAACCAACTGGGTTCACTGTATTTCCTAAATGTTTGCTATTAGTCAAAAAAACAAAAAATTCGTAGGTTAAAGCTATCATATAGATGTGAGAGGAGAAAACAAAGTCTTGCTATTCATTAATCCTGTTTCACTTTTTATCACAAGCAAGACCATTTTACCACTCTTGACCTTTCTCAAAAATTTTTTGTCCCTTCCTCCCCTTCTACACACTTGTCCTGGCTTCTTCCTTGCCCTTTCTACCTCCTCCTAAGTCAGGGATCCCAAATTCAAATGCCTAATCACAAATTTAATCACCCAGCCACATAGAAGAACTAAATATAAATGTAAAAATAAGACGTGGTTAAACTGAACTACTTAGAGTCTTACAGTATCTAAGTAAAAATAAAAAAACATACCTCATCTAGGGCCTGTGCATTATATTTATAAATGTACAAAAAAAATTACTCTAGACACTAGGTGATAAAATACACAAGTCATTCCTTTGCACACACACGTGTGTCATTTAAACTTTTTTTTAATGATCCAAGAAGTTTCATACACTAATGAGATTCATTTCCTTGTAGTACTTCTCACCTGTGGCAAACCTGCCACCTCTAATTTGTTTTAAAAGGAATTTTAATCACCTAATCAATCAAACTCCTGACCTTCAGCCTTCCTAGACACCTCACTGTGGTCAAAACTGGCACTAAAAATTCATGTTGTAGCTGCTCTGTTGTCCGCAAGCTCCAAAATGCCAATGATGTGGATATAATTTGAAAAAACCCTCTAAGAGACTGAAAAACTGGTAAATGAAGTCTCTAATTTTTCTTCTACCAAGATTCTTTAAATAAATGTAAATACTATTAAGTAATAATTTTTTATCCATTGGGGTTTAAAGACTTATAAATAATCTAAGTTTTTACATTGTCCATGCAGTCTTTTTATCACAAAAATCACATGGCCCAGTTTAGGGCTTCAGTAGTTCTCATTCTCTATGCACATATACAGAATGGCTGAGTGACATTCCTTCCAACCCTACCTCCTCCCTTCTAGCACACACAGTCCTAGCTACATAGGCTTCCCTTTCTCCAGCTTCATCCCTCACCCAGGGAAGAGGAAGTATTCTTCTTGCTGAGGCCAAAGCCTCAAGGCTCAGTCACTAGGGCACAGAAACATGCCCAAATTTCTCCCACTGAAGTAAAAAGCACTCCCTCTCTTACCAGCCCCATCCAGTCACAGCCCCATTTCCTGGCCTCGTGTCTCTTTCCCAGGAACACTGAGACTTAAACATCGCACACCTCTTGTCTTCACTTTCTCATCCATCTGCGGCTTAACCCAGTGAATGCTAGGGCCTACTCCACTCCCCACGGGAGCCATTTCCAAGTCTTGCCAATGACCTATTAGGACAATCAACAGCCTCTTTTCAGAGCTTATGTTATTTGAACTCTCTGCAGCATTTGATGCTATCGGTTACACCCTCTTCAAAACTGCCTTCCCTCAGTTTTTAAGGCCTCTCTTCCTGCCATCCTTGCACCTCTCTGAACATTCTTAATTTCCATCAAGAATCCATGTCTTCCCAACATCAACACCAGTCAGTGAGCTCACAGTTCCATCACTGGATCTGTTACTACATACCCTGTTCTGGTTCCATCTACCTTTAAATATAATCAGCATTAACTGCCAGTCATATACAAACAAAGTTCCCTCAATTCCAGTCTCTCTCAGGCAATCCGGCCTATACATGCCCCTGACTGGGCAGGACTTCACAACTTGGGTATCCTTGGGCATCTTACACCCAATGCATCCAAAATCTGCTACCATCTCATGCATTTACATAGATGAAGGCTCCAAACCACTACCTGATTACCCACCCTCCCAAAAAGTGGGAGGCATCTTCTAGTCTTCCTTCTCCTTTATTCCTCAGATCCAGACAGTTGCCAGGCCTTATTGCTTCTAATTCCACATCTCTCTGGAATTTGCCTATCTTTCTGTCTCCTCCAATGCCACTAGCTCAGATCTTCACCGTAGATCACACATACAGTTCTCCAATGAAAATCAATATGTGTGCCTCTGATCAGCAATCCAGGTTGCTGATAAAATGATCAAGCCTTAGCTGGGCATGGTTGTTAGAACAAAAAGACAGGCTGGATGCAAACTTCACAGATCATTTCAGCCTTTATTCAGGAACAGAACTATACCTACAGGAATGTACCCACTTTCCTGGTGGAAAATGAGCCACTGAACAAAGGAAGGCACTGAGCTTCTGTAGGTTATACTGAGAGGTGACTTAATTAATGAGGATGTCAGCTTGGGCACTCAGAAATTTGGGGTCTGTTTTACTGGGTGAAATAGGAGGGAGTCTAGGGTCAGCAGTCAGTCACTGGGATATATCTTACTAGACTTGATGGAAAGCCTGGGGTCAGTGGTTGGTATCTGAAAAGGACTTGTTTAGGGAAGGATTAATGCTTTGGCCTCTTCCCAGAGACTGTCTTTCTAGATTTGATGGACACCTCCTCCCCAGGGTTTGTTTTATCACCAGGAAAAAATGTATTGAGAAAGGATCAATGCTCTCAATATATGGCTTTCCTTCTCACTACCCTTTTCCCAGGTCTCACTATTGGGGGGGGGGGGGGTTGTCATTTTCCATAACTAATAATGGTGGCAATCATATGGTGGTGTGGTAATGGCCTGCTGAGAGCCATAGCTGAGTCCGAATGACGCATGGCATTTTTGCCAGTACGGAGTGGTTGAGAGGTGACGCCAGCAGGCCGTTGGGATGATGATGGTTTTGTTGAGCTGTGTATGTTAGACCCCTGCTGTCCACCTGGGCCTGCTCCTTTGGAGTTCTAGCGGGGATTCCCAGAGAGTTCCCATAGGTTGGGGAAGTGCCAGGGGAGGGATTTCCGGTCTCCGCGTGGCATTCGGTAGAGTTCCCGGGGAGCGTGTGTGCAATGTGCTGGTGGAGTTCAGAAATAAAGTTTGTTCCTGCTTCAGTGGCTGGATTTGTGCCCAGCCAGACTGCAGCAATGGCCTGTAATCCCAGTGGCCCAGGAGACTGAGGCAGGAAGGCTTGGGGTGTGATTCAGTAGTCCCTAGATTCAAACACTGGTGCAAAAAAAAAAAAAAGAAAGAAATTATCTAAGTCTTATAAGGTCACTTTTCTGCTTAATACTCTTAGAAAAATCTAAATTCTTTACCTTTATTCCTGAATATCTAAAAAAGCTCATGTCTTTTTAGTCACCTCTCACCAAATATCAGCCATACAGACACACATGCAAATACAACTTCCTCAGCCAAGGAAAGCCCTCCCACCCTTTTTGCCCAGTTAACTACTGCTCATCCTGACAACTACCATGAGAAAACCTTCGATGTTCCCAAGTCAGGAAACTGCCTCACAGCACATACATATCTGCCTATCTAGCAGTGATCCTCCACGTAACAGATTTTGTTGTAGTTG